TGGCAGCAGGTTGCAGATTTTAAGAACCGTGCTTGGCTCAAAACAAAAAACTCAAAATATTTACTGACCTTTGTTGCTGCAAGAATCCAGTAGTTAGGCCAGAAAGAACTGCTGACGTCGTATTAATCTGATCAGAAATCCATTAAATGCTCAGTATATCTTTTTATCTAGTCCTTGAAAACAAAATTGTCAAATTGCTAAGTGCCACTCGTGGCCCTGATCCAGCACGGCTCTGTTTTTACCAGGCTGAATGATGAGAAGAAACACATCTAATTAGTGTAAAAGGTTTTGGGGGAGAGTACAATCATCACTGAAATGGTAGTAATATAAATGTCTATTTGTTAGGCCCATCAGTGTTTGCTGCTTCAGTGCAAATAATTTCAGAGGCTGGGTTCTCTCTCCCTCAACATGGAAACCTCCTGCGCTGGCAGTGCTTTGTGTGCCACGCAAACTCGCTGCCGTGTGGCCAGAGCTGAGACAAAACCCGGCCACGACTGTGACAGCACCAGCCTTTTCCTGACGGCAGTCACCCCACACAAAGCGGGAAGGCTCCCGATAAAACAGGCAACAGTGCAGCTAAACCCAGCTGAGGGCTTCAGCTTTTCTGTAACTGCCATTCCACATGTGACGCTTTTTGAACCAGAGAGTAATGCACGGTAATGGATGCAATTCAATAGTTACTCCCATCCATGGCACAAAGCCAAAGCCAGCTTCACTGAAAGAACCTAGAAATGGCTCAGTAACACCCCAAATGCCAAAAGACTGTGTACATAGCTCACAAAATAAGATATGCTAGCAAAATGAGACGTGGATGGCGATCACGATTACAAATTCCTACCATTCATTGGCATTATTTATTATTAGTTTCTTTGCTGTTCCCTAGAAGGTCAACTTCCTTACTGGATATTTTCAGGGAAGTTTACTACCTCAAGCACACGGAGATTGTGAAGATGTGTCCTAGCCCCTGCTGCCTACATGGGTAGGGATGTATGGTACCAGAGACTGACCAGCATCAAATTCAGTGTATGGGAGGGTGCCAATGACATTTGTGGTTTGCTATACTTATTTTTAAAAATACTGCAGACTCAGTCAAAAATGTCTGAAGTATGGGATTAAGCAGAATTAAAAACAGCTTACTGGCAGGACAAGACAAAAAGGACTTGAAGGTGTGGAAAGGAGGGTGTAACATTGCAGCCTTGGAGCGCACAAGTGCAGGGAGCTGGACCCTGTGTGAGCACGGGCACCAAAGTGTGGCTGCAGAAGCATTTCATACCCATCCAAACCCTGGCCGCTAATGTGAATGGGACATGGGGCACATCTATTGCACCTGCGGCAATTTCAAAGGCAGGGCAAAGTGATCTCAGAAATGCATAGCCCACTCATTTTACAGATCATTATTTTAGCTATGGATAGATTAATTGCTACCAGGAATGGTTCAAATCCTCCTTATTCAGAAGGGATAAATTCCTGCAGAGGTAGAAGAAACTCCACGGAGCTGGTTGGAGGACTCGCGCTGCAGAAGCTGTGGAGTCGAGCGGTGTAAGGTGAGTGAGAAGCGTTTGCCAGTGTCAGTGGGAAGCACACAGGTAAAAGGGGACATAAACTGTAAGACAGGAAGGTGCTCTGCCCCTCATTAAATACACAGCTGTTGCCAGCGGTTCATGGTGTGTCCTGGAGAAGAACTGGGGTTAAAAAGATGAAAAGAAAAGAAGAGGGGGAAAAAAAGTCCTCCTTAAAATGTCTGTGCTAATCTTGTCACACTGTACTTGACGTTATGACCCTTTCTAATGGTAACTTGTATCAAATTTCTTTTTAAAAACCAGTGACAGTTACGTAATTAGACCTGGCTTTCTGAAGGAAAAAAAAAGTCACCTACTTTCAACTAAAATCCCTCCTTCCAAGCAGTGCTAAGGCGCTGTGCAGACCATAGGCACGTACACGTGGAATTTCTTTAGTCACCTGCTTGTCTTTGCTATCATCATGCCCGAGTATGAAGCCTGATTCTTATTTTGATTTGTGGTTTTTTTCTCCTTTTCCTTTAGACAAAGGTTATAATTACAGATGCCTAAGCTTTAGACTTTACCTTCCAACAGACAGAAAATAACAAATAGTTATAGGAAAGTACTGTAAAAATGGTTGGGCTTTTTTTAAACAGCTAGGAAGAAAAGATAGTTCGGAAACCAAAATATCCTGGAGGCACTTTCTCCATTCACAGTGTATTTGATAGATTGACTTTTGCTGCCAGGGCAGGCATTCGGCTTCTTCATTAGTATAATGATCCTTAGTCTTCTCTTCTCAAACTGGGGTAATTTGAATGAAAAATAAGTTTTATGAAATGTAGCCATTAATAATGTCAATAAATTTTATGTTATTACATATCACTTACAGTAATGCTATCTCTCACTACTGTAGATCAAAATATATTTATTAAGAATTTTAGAATCCAATACCCTCTTTGCTTGACAAGATCAATCCGGTGTGCTGTCGCATACCAAGGTGACTTGAGTTTTTCTAATGTGTAATCTCCTGTTATGTTCTGTACCATGTATGAACCCAAAGACAAAATATTTGCATTATCTTAAATAAACTAGGTAAAATGTATTTCAAAAAGTTTCTTGAGTCAAAAAGTAGCAAATCATTGTATGTATTTTCCATATTTGTATAGGTTTCATTATATTCTCATTCTAAGTTACTCTTAAGTCTCTTTCATATTTAAAAAATGAACTACACACCTATCATGCAAAATGTAAAGAAGTATGTTCAACTAGTTCAAATTAGATATACAGTAAAAATACACTTCCAAAGAAATATCATTTCCATTTTTGTTCATGTTTTTAACAGAATTTCAGACTAATACATCAAATGTGGAACTGTACAAGTATGTGAAGAAACATTAGGATTGCAGTAGTAAAAAAATGTACAGCATTCAAAACCAACAAGCTCTAAACAACCAAACAATACCACAGGATTGAAACAGTCATGGGGACAACATAGGCCATCGGAGCCAGAGAGCGAATCCTAATGCACCTACATAAAGACCCTACATAGAATATTGTCTCTTACTTATATGCAAAATCCCTGATTTGATTAAACCAGACAATTTTTTTAATTGTCTCTGATAGGTTTCAGATAAGATTAACATGAGAGTATTCCCCTTCATAAATGTCAGTTATTTGAAAAGGCAATATTGAGAATTGATTTGAAAGGTATTTCCATCCGTGTGCATTCAGGAAGTTAAAATACAAGATCACAAATTATAGCACTGCAATTTGAAAGAACCATTTGAATTGTTACCCGCTGCATGTGCCGCAACACTTCAGAATTCAGGATTCAGTCTTTTAGAGTTGCTTAGGGGTTAATACACAGGGTTTTTAATTATGGGCTGTAGCCGTTCAACAGTGGACCAACATTGCCTTTTAAATCAAGAAAAGATGCAGCTAAGCATGTAAAAACAAATAAAATCTCCAAGGTGGTTGACAGTGAACAGAACATTACATACAGCAGAATCTCCTTGTCCGAGTATCTTTGCAAGGTGAATATGTACTCTTTTACAGTCCACTAACCAGCACAATTTCCTTATCAGATACTGTATAATGAGGAAAAATGTCTTGGACCAACCTGTAACGGTTATTAATTAAACTGAAATTATCTTTTTGAATGTCTCATCATTGTGCATAAACTCAATGAACTATGCTAGCCTATGGTTTTATTGGCCAGAATGGAATCCCTTTCGCAGACCTCAGATAGTTGTGATTTTTGTAGGACTATCTTGCTTTTCAGATAACTCACCTGTGGGGGTTTTTAAGCTGAAGTATAAAAAAAAGTTCATAACTGACCTAATTATGTCAGCATTTCTATCCCACAGTCCTCATGCTCCGAGTCTCTCACTGATCTCAGTAGGAATTTGGCTTGCACAAGAGTGGCAAATTTTCAGCCGAGAAAGCTGAATAAATGTGGCACTTTTAAAACCAAAATATTGTTACCAAAGAGTCTGGCTGACAAAATCATATTCCATGCACCAAAAAGGGCAAAGAACGCGAATCTTGGCACCTATCTTGCTGTTTATTTGGAATAATCTTCTAGCAATTTTGATGCAATGGGATGATGGATTCGTTTTAGACAGCTAGCCACATACAACCAAACGTTTGACTGAAATGAGCTGATCAGAACAGGTCTGAAAAGGAACAACCATACGCATCTTATGTACCGCTTAAAATCTAGAAAGCTACTGGGAAAACAGCATAGGGTGTACTCCTTCTTATACATATTTAAACTTTGCTGAGGTATTTCTTTAATTACAGAAAAGCATCTTTAAAAACAATAGAAAAAAATCAAAATATGAGTTAAATTGTGCACAGATTTTTGGGGGAGAAGGAATTCGATTGTACTGAAAGGTCTGCAATCATTAAAGTAATAACCACTTTTGTTAGTATCAATAGTATCATAGTCGTCCTTGGCTTTTTATTCCTTCGAAAGCATTACTAGAAATGTAAGGTTGTGACTTTGTAAAACATATTTTTTCCTTGACTGCATGTTGTAAAATAACCCAAAATACCTCTGTCTTTTTCCTAGGGAAAATATTACCCAATGCCCACCTCTGCAACTGTCGGGTACCCACTTGCCTCCTCCAGAAAACAGGACACACCATCCCTTGCACAAAAGTAAGGTGGTTTTCATAAATGCTCACTGAAGTCAAGATTCTTTCACGCGACAAAATTAAGTATAGTTTGTCTGTTTGGATTTTAACATTATCTGGTAACTTCTACCTGCAACTTACAGTTATTTATTTCTCTATAATAAAGATGCCTAGACTGTTGTACAAGCTGGATTTCTTACCCATATATACTTCAGGAACAGGAGGAATGTATACAGCATATTTAGAGTTTATCCTAGGCAGATACTGTGCTTGAAGTGCAGTTTTCTAATCCTTTTCAATACAATCAGCCTATCTTGATGGTGACACTAGAGTTAAATGTAACTGCAGCCATTACCAAGTAGTTTCCATAAGTGGTTTTATTACTGGTTAGATTTTACAAATTCTGGTATTTGAACAGACTTCAACCTTAAAATTCTAAAACAACAAAGCAACCAATGAAAGGCTTAGGACTATTCAAAGTAACAAACTCGTAACATTTTTGCCCTGGTCATAAATATACAGAGAGAAAAAGAGAGAAGTGGACATGGAATCCAAAGTATGTAGATAAAACAGTATATAAGGCACATGGCAGTCTTTGAAAATACAGAAGCTTTAGCCAACTTAAATTAATTGCTGTTTCCCTTGCTCAGTCCACAAAACTGTACAGTTACACAAATGTTGTGTTGCAATAGATCTTCCAAGTTATTCTTCAGTCCGTACTCCGTAATACCAGAACACTACATTTCCTTCTGTTTTTTTAGGAGAGATCCTAATTGTGGTTAGTCAGTTGCTCAAAGCCTCTATTAAAATACACTTGGAATTTCAACTAAGAATAATTTCTTTTTTAAAGAAATTATTAAGAAAGAGTCATCAGAAAAGGTTTGTAAGAGTTGTCTGTGAAGGACTTCGAGATTCGTGAACCTCAAGGCTTCCGGGCACTGATGTCAAGACAGATGTCACAGTAGGCATAGTGGGATTAGTCAAGTCCGTTAACGTTGTGGGAGTGCTGGATGGACTCATGGAGGCATTGGATATTTCTGAGGCAGGACCTGATGGGGTGCCTGCTTGCAGTGTTGAGTCTGATGTCTTATCCACCCCCGTGTTTTCTTGACGTAAGAGGTTCCGTCTGAATTTGGCTCGAGCATTTTGAAACCAAACCTGGAACAGTTTAATATAACAGGGTAGCATTTAAAGAGCTGCAGTGTTTAAAAAAGCAAAAGCAAATTCACCAACGTTTGAACTGTGGAAGATGTTTTTATCAGTAACATGTTAGAAAAGTAGCCCCCATCATGCGAAGCATCCTCTGCACACCTGAAAAGCATTCCTGGTTCCCTCTGCTGCAGTCCTGGTTAAACACTCTGCCTGGGACAGGAGCGGACTCAGGATGGAGGAGCAGGCTGTCTATAAAGATGCTTAGAAACTGGGCAGCCTGCATGAATCCTCGATTGCCCTCAGTCCCAATTTTTGTCTGGATGAGGCAGACGTCAAACATTTGACGAATATAAAACAACGAGTTTTGGCACCCTTGTACCTCAAGTCCATCTCCCATGGTCAGCAGCAGGGGACACAGACCACAGCCCCCTGCCTTCCTGTGGGCCCCATGCGTTTTCCTATAACTTTCCTGTGTCTCAGTGTCAGCAGTGCTCTCACTTTCCTAAAGCTCTGTCCCTCTTTCTTAATCTTCTCTTACTCTTCTTTCTCAAATGCTTCAGCTCCCTTCGCCTATGCCAGTCTCCTTTTTCAAATGTTTTCTGTACTGGAATGATGTCAGGAAAAGAGGCTTGAATGGTATTAAAGACCCAGATTGCATTAAAAACTGTAATTTCAGTAGAAGCTTTATCCACATACAGAAATTTTTCCAAGATTGCTACTTCTGCATTATTTGATTTTTATCTATGAGTGAAGGACAAAAGATACGACTTCATCTTTCTCAGTTAAATTTCAGTGTTTAAGATCAAGTTAATAATGCTCTCCACTGTCTGCAGGATTTCTTTAAAGATAAAATATTTTTCTGACCTATTTGAAAATAGATAAAATGAAATGTGTTTGTGAAACTTGCATAAAACCTACGTACCTTGACTAAATTTGAAAATGCCATTAAATATCTTGTATTCAACCTGATATATGTTGAGAGCGGGCAATTTTACTGCAACAAACTAGCTGAAATTTCACCAAGATAACTTATCAGGCAGCTTTCTGTGATTGTTACATTCTTTACAATGGACTCAATCCTGATCCTACTGTCCTCACGTTGATCTGCTGTAAGAAATAGGACCGAGTCTTTCCATTCCAGATGCAATGAGTCTCACCATCTCTATATCTGTTGGAGAAAGGAACTGAGTGAGTTTCTTCTCTGTGGCCTGTACAGGGAAACTGAGTGCGTGGAGCTCTCGATGGCACACCAACCTGTACAGAAATTCTGACCTCTGACTCACAGCGAGGCCCTGCCTTAGACCTGCTTTAAGACAGACCGCTGACATAGGAGCGATTTGTAAATGCAAGCAATCCTGTAAGGAGTTCTCTTTGCACTCTCAGCTTGCCAAATAAGAGCTGATGAACATCTCAGCTGGTTTCTCCTCATCTATGGATGGACCAGACACGAATTCCCCCCATTGAGCACTCTTACGTTTTCTCTGGAAAACTCTCTCCCCGAACAAAGGGTCTTCAAGGTGCACACCCTCTGTCTTGTGCTCTCTTCAGGGAATGCCACGAGGAAATAATCCTCAGGCACAAATTCTAGCAGTGGCCATAGGAGCTGCAGTCACAGGCCGTGCGTGAATTGCATCTGTACAGGTCCTTGGTTCTGAAAGCTCAGTATTTTAAAACAGTTTATGGCATTCCCTTTGTTAAAACACTTAGTTTAAAGGCTATATATTGGTTTCATATATGACAAGAAAACAAAGATCTCCTAAACTAGCACTGACAAAAATATGCTCATGATTTTGTAACACAGTCTGTTATAGTGGTAAACCTCTTAAAAATCAGCAATGTGGTCAAAATCGGGCAAAACCAAACGTGACATTTTTGCCTGACACATTCACAACCTGTGTCGTCTCCTGCTCATTCAGTGCCACATGAGGAGGGAGGTGTGGAAGCACATGCATGGTTCTGAGCAGAGCAAGCAGCCTCCAGTGCAGGGGATGCAAGTGAAGCAACTCGGCTTGTTCTGCTCATTCGAGCTGCAGAGCATCAAGCACCAACCAGTTAGGAATGGTAAAAAGAACCAATTTGAGCATTTATGGGATTTGTTTACCTTTCAGTAAGAGATAATTGATATTTGTGCTACAAAGTAATTTGGTTTTGATTTTTTCATTATACCTTCTAGCAATTGTAAAAAAGCACAAGACATATGAAGGCGAAAGGGAAGCTTAGACATTGCAGCTGTTGATATGTATGTGTACCATGGCTCTGTGATAATTAAACAGAAATAGACAAAACCACTAGTCTGGTTGCATATACGTGTACTCCTGCATAATTTCACAGTTATGTTCATTAAAAAGATACATATTTACATATGCAGTAGTCTCAGATATGAGAAACATTTCCATTCCTATTTACAAAATAATTTTCTTGCTCAAAGTGTGTAAAGCTGTAGAAGGCACCATAACTATTCTGTTCATTTACACTGTTCCTAAAAGTCCATCTGCTCCTTAATCTCAGTAGGGCAAGAGACTCTACGGTATTGCTTCTGTTTGTGATTTGAAACGTAGTATGTAAAGAAAAGTGAGCAAGATTATTGGTGCTTATATGTTCCCCTTTATCTATCATTAAATATGAAAACCTGTGCTCAAGTGCCCTTACCTATGACCATTAATGCTGCTTTGAGGAGCCACACATATGAGATGGTTCATTCTCTCTTTAATTCATCTTAGACATAGAAAATATTCCATAATCTTGTAAGTATTATTTAAAAACAGAGATAATATGACTACTTTCACTTTCTTTCTCACTGAGATAGTCAAGGTTAATCAGCTAATGGTTATAAAACCCTCTTAAATTGTCCAATAATAAATATTAAAGTTATTACTGAAAAGGCATCTAAATATTTGTTAACTGAATTTCTAAAAACACCTTGTCTTATAGAAAAGAATAATATAAAATAATCATCACAGTAGTGATACTGTGGTAGATGTGAAACTACCCAGCACAGGCTTCATGTTGAGGAGAAGTGAAATAATTAAAACCACTGTTTTCTGAGCTGGGGATGGATGTCTGCTCTCCCGCTGCCCCGTGCCGTTACTCAGAGCCGTGCACAGCAGCGCGCAAGGGCTGGCGGCTCAGGACTGCCCATGCGTAGTGGCGGCAGCAGTGCTCTGTGCTCACATGGGCTGTTCAGGCCCTGCACCTGTACCGGTATTGCAGTCAAGAAAAGAAATAACCACCCAAACATACATAACCGGATGAATCGTTCCAGAAGGACTTCTCTCACATCAATTACACAATTAGGAATCTGGTCTGCAGTACTGAGGAATAAACAAAATCACTGGGAAGTATTTAGTGGCTTTCTGTCCAACTCTATCATCATAAGGCCGAGCTGCTTCAGATGAAAGGGGAAAATACAGACCAAAAGTCCCACTGAAAAATAAAAGCAGCTGTGAGCCCCACCACTGATGGCACCCCATTCTGGTTAGCAAGACTGGGTGCGGGCAGCTGGACAACTCAGCAGAATAATGTTTACTGCAGTTAAAATATACATCTTGTCAGTGATCTGTGCAGCTAACTCCTTGTCTCCATCAACTCAAATAGGAATAAGAGAACATCTCCATTTGCGTGGGAAGTATTGAAAATGAATGTGCTAAGTATTGTAAAGGATTCAGATATTGAAGTGAATGAGATCATCTGATCACCTTAGATAACTTTTCTTGTCTGTAACACCTCCATTATTGCCGCTGTTACATGTTAGTTCTGTGCATAGCTTGTGCTAGAAACGATTTTTTAAGCACAATTTTGTTCATTCATACTGCTACCTGCGGACATTTAGTTTTACTGAGTCCTACTGACTAGCAAGTGGAGAAACAAAAATACAAAGGATGTTGCTCCACAAAGCAAATTACGTTCACCTGTTGCACACACATTCTGATTACTTTGTTGTAATTAGTAAACACACAGCTGAAGTGGAACTATGGGATATTTCATGAATGAAGGCTTGGCAAAGAGTCTGCAGTGTCCTAGCCTAAACCAAACCTTCCCCCAAAGGTAGCGCAGGATACCCACACATGATTATGAAAATTTTTTTGCTTGTTGACTACAGGAAACTGAATTAACAAAGTCCAAATGCATGCACTAATCTTTGTAGGGTTTTCATAGCAACTTTACTGGGAAATGATTCAAGAAAGCATAAGCAGTGCACAAGACACCCACTGAAAAATAACGCTTTGTGTTCCTACATCACTTTTGCCATGGATGATCCTATTCCAGACTCCTGGGGAGAGAAGAGGTGCATATCTATACCTAACAAACCATATCTTCTTAGGGCTATCTACTTCCACCTTCGCTTTCTAAACTCACAAAAACAAAGACCAATTCCCAAAAGAGGAATAATTATGCCAGTCAGTTAGCCCACAATTAGCTGGTCACTGTAATTATGAATGATAGATTACAATATTGGGCTTGTGTTCCCCAGATGCAGTACAAGAAGTATATGAATTAAATTGTAAAGCTAAAATAAAGCTAAATTGGAATGAAAATAAATAAAAACAGGGGTGAAAAATATAAATAGGTTTACTGTGATTCTAATGTGGCTACTTACGGAAAATAGTCTGCATTACAAAGCCACTGAGGGAAATGTAATTTCCGAAGCAGTATGTTACATTTCCATGCCATTCCACTTCTGGACGTGTGTAGCTGATGACCAATTGCATATAAAGCAAAGGCAGAAGTCAGGTCTTCAGATGGGGTTTCACAGATCATTAAGAATATGGCCAAATTCTCCGCTTATCTACAAACAAAGCACCCTCATTACACGGGATGTGGGACTGTCTATAAAGTAAGGGCACTACAGCTGTTTCCTAAATCCCCAGGAACCCTCCTATGTGTGTTTAGGAAGTGCACTCATTTCAGAACAAGAGAATCTCTTTCTCCTGATCTGCTGCCTTGTATTTTCTATTAAAATATATTCTGTTGATGATGTACAAAGAGCCACAGACCTTCATCAACTGAACTGAGATCTGAACACGCAGAAGACACAGCAGCTTACAGACACAGCCCATAACGTAAGGACTGCGGGTGTGTACATAGTCTGGGGGCCCATGCACCTTCGATGTGTAAGACAGACCAACGCTAATGATGCTGGTTTAGATCAGCAGTGTCAGTGAATTTGTGTTCAATAAATGACACAGTTGGAATGCCAACCTTTCTGGCTCTAAAGAGTTAACAAGTGACACTATCTCAGTAACCAACATCACGAAGAGTTTTCCCCAGCAAAGAGCAACCCTGAAACTCATACAGGTGAACTCCAGCGTCTGAAAAATTGCCGCTCGCAGGTTCCAGATAAACCAATTGGGCCCAAAGATTATAAAATAAAAACAAACAAAAAAACTTAGTTTTTTCATGGTCCAAATTAATTTTCAAACAAAAAGTTCAAGAGTAGGGAGTAGAGTCCTTGCAACAGACAGGAAAACTCAAGTGATACTGGACAAAATATCACTCTGAGTCATTTTCTTGAAGTGCCTCCAACAGCATCATCCTCTGGGTGCAGTCCTTACCACTATGACCTTCCACCACTCTGCAGCTAAAGGACCCCAGACATAAAGGAGTATTTAACTGTAAAGGAAGTGAAAGACCAATTACCAAAATGATGAAAAAAGTTTAGTGGAATTGTAAGGGATTGCTGGGGAAAAAAAAAAGAGGAAACATGAAGCACCTTAAAACTGCAAGATGCGGTGTGTTCAAGATGGAACAGAAGCAATGAAGAAACTGAAAAAGGGAGTGAGGTGTAGTGGAGACATAGAGTCCAGTTTTGGAGACAAGGAAATACATTCTGAAAAGGAAGGAAGAAATAGAGACAATAACTTAGAAAACAGATGGAAGTAAAGATCGAGGAGAGGAGAGGAGAGGAGAGGAGAGGAGAGGAGAGGAGGAAGTCAGTTAGTGTGGAGTGAGGAGAACAGAAAGTTGAGCAAGAGAAAGACACTTTCTAGATGCTCGTTTTTTAATGCACCATGTGCAATTTCTCAGATAATTCAGGTGAGAGTGCACTGTAAGGGCCAGAATAGATATTACTTAAGTGTCTAAACTCTGAGGGTAAAAGAAAGGAAAAGTGTCCAAATAAGGACAGACAAATGCAGTAAACTATTTCCCCCATGTGCATGGACAAAGGAGAGCTGCTATGAGAGACACTACGTCAAGTGCTAGGATGTGAACGAGTTACACTGGAGGAATCTGTTCCACTACTGCAAATCAGCCTCATAGAAACAAAACAAAAATCCAACTACGAAGGACGTAGCCAAGAGAAGTTTTTCATTGCAGTTTTTACTGGGAAGCCTGCAAAACCTTTATTTCTTCTTCTGTTAGATCTGAACACTGTAAGGTCCAGAATCTCTCCAGTGAATTCAGTTTTTTTTGTCTGCTGCCCTCCACTTGCCTATGGATTTGTGAGAGGCGTCCACGATGCTTTCCCTGGAGTCTGTCTCTGAGCCCTTCCTGTCTCTATGAAGCTCACAAACAGTTTTTCTACAATTAAGACCCGTTTTAAAATTTGAGCAATAGATCCTGGAATGCCATGGCTCCTATATGCTCAAATTTATCTCCAGATATAGTCATTTGGATAAGAACCCATTAAAATTGGCTTCTCGAATTAGAACTATAAATTAAACTAGAGCTGAATCAACTAATATTATCACCTTGGCTTCCCATAATAGTGCAAATGGAGTGTATATGCTTGAAGCAAGAAAAATCTAGCTTTCAAATAAAAAGTACTTTTAAAATGCAGTGTCCTTTCATTCTAAGTTACTAAGCTATGAAAAATTAATATCTGAAAAACTAAATTTATGTCCGCTTCAGGTATGAAAGAAAACGCATCCTCCTTATCCTGATAAAATAAATCCAAACTGTTGATTAATTTCTCCTGAGGGTAAACATTCATAGTAATTTCTAAATTAAGAGCTCTCTGTTTACAGTGAACACAAAAACTACAATAATTCACCTTTTCTTACAGCAGATTGGAAGCTAAAACATGCACCAAAATTAACCAACTACAGGAAAGTGAGCAGGGCCCCAGACTTTCACAACTGTCATTAAAAATGAGAACCTAAGGGATCTACTTTTGGGAAGCTGGAAAGCAATAACTTTTCTCATACTTTCTAGGGTTCAACTGAATTCTCACAGAAGGTCTGAATGATTAAGGAAAGCATGAAAATCAGCAAAATTCATGGCATTTCAAGAATGAAATCTAAACATGATGTTTCAGTTACTTTTCAAGAGAAAAGGCTGCTCTTCTTACCTGGAGAACCCTTTTGGTCAGGCCAGTTTTCTGAGCTAGCTGTTTCAAGTCCTTGGCATCAGGATTGTGGTTAATAGCAAAGTACGACTTCATTGTCCGCAACTGGTGGTGTTTGAATGACGTCCTCATGCGCTTTGTCTTTTGATTGCTGGGGTATTGTTGGTCTCTATCCAGGTGGTCACCATCGTTTTCATTGCAACTTAAAGCTTAAGGCAACAAGAGGAAGAGGCGTGTAAATCTGCCGCTCCATGACCAGCATTGTTTGCAGTTCATCTGAGTGCAGCAATTAAAATAACATACCATGGCATGTATTGTGCTGGCACAAATCCTACTTGCCTTCCCCTCCATTTCTGCATCTTCTATTTTTCCCATACAATAACCGGCCTGCAAGGACCCTCACCTGCCTCTTTATGGCTTTTTAAATGTCAGGCCTGCTTCCTTTTTTCTTCCCTCCATCTCCATGCAGCCTCTCCTCCACTTTCTGCTCATAGGACAGTAGCTGTCCTCAACTCCGTAAAGTGTTTTAATGTACTTTGTATCACTATAAATCGCATTGTAACGTACAAAGAGAGCTGTACAATACGGTCCACTCAAATCTCAATGGAACAGACCAGTTAAAATTGTAATTATTTCCTCCATCAAACTAAACCCTGTAGAGTACAAGGGAGACCATTAAATGGAACAGTATAAAAGAAATAAAGTTTGTGGGTACCAGACAGCAAATTATGACTATAATTTGAGTAGCTAAAGAAATAAAGTTAATACTATGTATCACCGGCGTGCCAAGTGAAAAATAGCGTTTTCATTATTTATATGTTTAGATTTCCTTTGTTAAAAAAAGTGTTTGTAAATACTGGTGCGAATGAGCGGTTCCGTTACATCCTTTTGAAATCACTGAATGACACCGGTTGATACATTTGCATAAAGCACTCACAGAGGCTGTAAAGGACGCCTATAAGGAAGGAACATTGCAATAATTATCAAGTAGTGTTGAATGCCAAGCAAAATAATCTCATAGACCAAAAGTAGTTTTTCATTTATTTGTGCATACAGTAAAACACAGAAAAACTCTTAAAATAACATTAAGGACCGAACTTAAATTCAGTAAAAAAATCAGGGCTATAACTGAAAATTAGCTCTGACAAGCTGCCATTAATTTACTTTTTCTGTTCCAATATCTACAACTCCCTTTTAATTTCCTACAAGTTTTATGTTAAAAGTTATGAAAAATCGCTACCATCTCTGTTCTATGTTGCATGCAAAAAAATAGGAAAGAAACTGTATTTTAAAATGTGAATTCTTGGTGAATTTCTTAAGCACATAAACAGAGTTGTTTTCAGTGGTCCATTACTGCTGGTTCATTACAACCGAGTACATCTCCTAGACATGTGTGTCTTTATAGTCGTACTTTCAGTTCAAGCTATCCATCAGAGGTTTTCAGCCCTACTGAAACAGACCAGTTCAGAGAGGCGTGCACTAAAAACATTTTCAAAAAATATACATAAAACACACGTACTCCTAAGTAAAAATGCATGCAGAGTCTCTGAGCAGCAGTTTTGCAGCATGTGCAGTAGCTGCTTTGCAAACCTCAGCTTTTCAAAAACTTCCAAAAAGATACGACACAGTACGGAGCAAGGCCTGCAAAGATTCAGCTTTAAGACCCAAAGCATGTTTGTTTAATAGATACATACAAAGTATCCGAAGCCTCAAACTTTTGTGTGTTTCTGTACTCCTATAATTTAAAAAACAGCTAAGGAAAATGGTGCTCTATCCACAAATGTGTCTGTACGTGTGCGTGTGTGCGTGCGTGTGTGTACATTTGTATAAATCCTTTCCAGACCCAAGGATCTTGTGCCAAATTGTGGCAATAAGAAGCATTTCTGCTTGTCTTCCTGTGCTGTGGAAAGACTGGAAGCACCTGAATTTAAAAGCTATGAGACACATAAAAGCAGATGTTAAAAATGCAGTGTTGATGGAGCTGGGTGAAGTGCAGGGAAATCTTTTTTCTGGTTTAAGAACTGAGATTCGGTTGCCAAACTGGGGTCATCCCATGTGCTCCAGTCTCCTTCAGAGCCACAGTTCCTGATGTAAAGAATACTGGGATGAGTAACTGCAACTGCATTGCTCATAGCAAATTCTGTTATGGAAACATAAAACCAAGCAGCGCTTGATTTTAAAACGTGCTCACAGAAATTTAGACATTAGTAATGGAAAAGACCTCTGTGCGTTATCTTAAATGCTTTCAAATCCTCACAGAAACACAAAGCAGAGACTTATGAGGAAATGCACCAAAGTGTCTGAAGGGCTGAGGTTTGTTCATGTCAACATGCAACAAAACAAACCCTAGGGCTGGCAGTGGTGGGATTTTAACCTGTTCCATAGAGAATGGGATACATTCAGGACCCAAGGAAAGAAAAGTGATCCTAAACCCTCACAGGACGGAATGGGAGCATCAGCTTTTCATCAAGCCCTGACAGGACAATGAACAATCTCCTCTGAATTTTGCATAATTTTACCTCCTCGTTACTAAGCAAAAATAACACTAAACTGACAGTAAATATGTACCGTTCAGGACTGGCTAACTACCACCCTTTTCTGTGCAGAAAGTGACAGAGCAGATTTTGAAAGTGCATGGGGGTGTCTGCTGTTCCTTATCTTGTGCAAGTGGCTTGAGTACCCCCAGGCGTCACCCAATGGGATAGAAATATTCCTGGTTACTGCCAATTCCCCTCTCGTATTTGGTTGTGGTGCTTGGCACCACCTTCAAAAGTCTCTTATATGAGGTCTAATATTATACACATTTCTCACAGAATCTGAAATATCTATGGGCGTTGCAGGCACAGAGGTACAGACCGGACCAAGGGTGTATGCGTGTGGAGATTTTAAGAGCTGGGGAGTTTCTGCAAAAGGCATCATGGCGTAAGGCTGATGCTGTACACGCTCCTCACGCACCCCTGGTTTTCAAGCACTTCTTCCCTGTTCCTTCATGGCATTTCCTGTGTGTCTCCCAAAGGAACTGTTGAACTAACCGGACCTAACGTTTCCATTCAATTGCAGTATCTGGGGCTCCTGCTAGGAGTTCAGAAATACAACTGGTAAAATTCCAGTCCAGTAGAGGACTCTTGAATTCACTGATGTTTAATTCCTGTTTTGTGATAAAGCAAATTCTGAAGTGGTGCCAGATCTCTTTTTTGACCCTGTAACATTTCTAAGGCCTTTCTCCCCATCCCCACATCCAGGCCATTGCCCGCCCGTCCTCCCGCTGGGCTCCCCAGCTCTTATAGCCTCCTCTATCAGCACCACCATACAAATGTCCACTTGGCCACAAGATGGTGATGTCCACGGAGAGCATCACTAGAAATTAAGATCAAAACATTATATTTAGATATTGGTGACCAAAACATCCTCTGCAGAATAATGCAAAACAGTGTCTCTAAAACCAGTAACAGCAGAGTAAAGCAGGATGTGCTGTTATCTTTGTAACAAACATTGTTTGAAGAAGCAAGCTTGGGAGCAGTGTTTCACACTCAGATCACCAGATGCCCCCACATGTCAGGATTTAGGGCAAAGCATGTGCTTAGTAGTTAGAAGGTCACTAAGTATACAGCACATGAAGAAGATGGGAAAGAGGAATTTCCTCTGGGGGCACTTTTTTGGTCTAGTAGCTTGTGTTTGACATGTTAAATTATCCAAAAAGAAAGGAAAATAATCCTGACTCTAAAAGAATGTTGAAACAAGAGGCACATTTGGTGTGTGCATCAGCTCTCCATATTCAGAGGCTCAGGAACATACACCCCTTTCCTTCTGTAGTAAGAGTCAGGGGGGTGTTTTAACCTCCTGCTGCCTGGAGAGGGAACTTGTGATTAACCAGACTAGGCAAGGGTGCAGTCTTATTTGTTGTTTGGCAGGAGTGTGTAAAGGACTTGGTGGTACCCACATGCTTGAAGGTGACAGAAGTGAGACAGAGAGAGTCCCCAGTACTTGGGACAGGAACAGAGATAAAGTCTTTCTTCCCGGTGGAAGAAGACACTTGGAGAGGGCAGCAGCCTGAACTCCTTGCTACAACTGAGACTAAAAGGGGTGAAGCTGTGGCACTTGGAGCAGGCAAGGTACCCCTCACTGCTTCTGAGGCACCCCCGCGAAGCCTTCGGAGCAACAGACACGGAAAGCGCTGCCTCAGCCTTGAAATTTCAAGGGGTGTTTCTAGGCAGAAGGAGATAAAGCCTGTCTTAAGGAGCGAGTATCTGCCAGGCTGAGCATCGCAAGGCCACAAGAGACGAGAGCTGGGATTAGAAACCCTCTTCCCTCCGGCCTTCCCAAGCCGCCTCGGACAA